GAATAAATTTAAACAACGAGCCCAAGTAGGCATGTTTTTCCTAGAAAATATAAATAAAAATACAACATATAAAATTAGGCCATAAAATTAGGGCTAATGGACTGGCTGGCTGGGCTCCCTCGCCCACTTGCTTGCTTATTCAGCTCCTGGCAGCCAGCACCCCCTGGCCAGCCCCAGAGGCACCATTCGCCTGGGGAGCTTGTAGCTGTGCAAGCCTTTGGGAGGCAGAGACCCGAGAGGGCATCAGAGGAGGGAGGGAAGGAAAGAGGGACTGGGGCCAGGGTTGCCCGCAGCACTCCTGACCATCATTCAACCAAGGTGCCACAACACACTGGTTGAAAGCCACTGGACTATAGGAGTAGTGGGAGATCACACCCTACTTCACAGTTCGCACGGAAACCAGAGGAGGGAGTTTTGTACCAAGAGCACAAGACAGGACACTCCCTGGATTCAAACCGGCCTCACAAGCTTCACAAAACAGCTCCTTAGTAATAAAAAAGGATATATTCTATTTACACTGGCCTGGAGGAAACATGTTTGATACCAGGCAGAGGGCCTTCTCAGTAGTAGTGCCCGCCCTGTGGAACAACCTTCCACCAGATGTCAAGGAAATAAGCAACTATCTGACTTTTAGAAGACATCTGAAGGCAGCCCTGTTTAATGTTTGATGTTTTATTGTGTTTTTAATACCCTGTAGGAAGCCACCCAGAGTGGCTGGGGAGGCCCGGCCAGGTGGATGGGGTATAAGTAATATATTATTATTATTATTATTATTATTATTATTATTATTATTATTATTATTATTATATCACTACTACTCTGGGTAACTGGTTTCCCCTTAACTAACAGATATTTAAATCTGGGTAACTGGTTTCCACCTAGCATATATTTAATCTAGATTTAAAGAGGGGTATTGGGAGATGCAGCTTGGCATTTTGATGCCAGTGACATATAAGAAGAGCCTGCTGGATCCTGCCACTGGTGTAACCCAGGGGTCAGCAAACTTTTTCAGCAGGGGGCCTGTCCACTGTCCCTCAGACCTTGAGGAGGGCAAACTATATTTTTTTTTGGGGGGGGATGAACAAATTCCTATGCCCCACAAATAACCCAGAGATGCCTTTCAAATAAAAGCACACATTCTACTCATGTAAAAACACGCTGATTCTCGGACCATCCGTGGGCCGGATTTAGAAGGTGATTGGGTCGGATCCAGCCCCCGGGCCTTAGTTTGCCTACCCATGGTGTAACCTGTTCTCACAGCAGCCGACCAGCTTCTCCAATGGGAAGCCTATGAGCAAGCCTTGGACACAAGAGAATAAGTGAGAAGAGCCTGCTATACCAGGCCAGTGGCCCATGGAGTACATCATCCTGTTCTCACAGTGGCCAACCAGATGCCTGTGGGAAAACAGGATCCGAGTGCCATTGCAACTCTCCCCTCCTTCAGTTTCCAGCAACTGGTGCTCAAAAGCCTTGCAGCCTCCAACAATGGAGGTCAGAGCATAGCCATCATGGCTAGTAGCCATCCACAGCCCTCTCCTCCCCCATGAATTTGTTTAATCCTCTTGAAAAGCCATCCGAATTAGAGGCCATCACTGCTTCCTGTGGGAGAGAGTTGCATTGAAATATACTCAGAGTCGCAAAGTGATTTCATGCTCTTTATTCAGCTCATAGTGGTGAGGAGGAATGAATGAAAGTCCCCTCAAAGTATCTGCTTTATATATATTATTTACACAATGGGCTGCACATGATTGGCTAATTCCGGAATTCTACTGTAAGCCTAAGGGACGCGGGTGGTGCTGTGGGTTAAAGCCTCAGCGCCTAGGACTTGCCGATCGAAAGGTCGGCGGTTCAAATCCCCGCGGCGGGGTGTGCTCCCGTTGCTCGGTCCCAGCGCCTGCCAACCTAGCAGTTCGAAAGCACCCCCGGGGGCAAGTAGATAAATAGGGACCGCTTACTAGCGGGAAGGTAAACGGCGTTCCGTGTGCTGCACTGGCTCGCCAGATGCAGCTTGTCACGCTGGCCATGTGACCCGGAAGTGTCTGCGGACAGCGCTGGCTCCCGGCCTATAGAGTGAGATGAGCGCACAACCCTAGAGTCTGTTAAGACTGGCCCGTACGGGCAGGGGTACCTTTACCTTTACCGTAAGCCAATCAGGTTGTGGATTCACTTCTATGTGGAGCATGACTGGGTAGTTCCTGCCAACCAATCATACTGCTGCATTATTCTAGGACCAATCAGACTGCTGTATTCTGAATCCTATTGTTCTAGGACCAATCAGACTGCTGCAGTTTGGATCCTATTCAACTCAGTACATAACACCCCTCCCCTCTAAGTTCCAGTCCTGCCCGGGAGGTCGCATTCATAGTCCTCAAGATACGCCGGCGGCCTACGTGTGTGTTGCGGCCTGGGGTGTTCCCTGGTCCGGGGTTCAGGTTCTGGCTCGTGTTCCAAGGATGCTGGCTGTGATGGGGCTGTTTGGTCTGGCGCAACCGACTCGCTCAGTCGTGGTTCTGGTTCCGGTGTCCTTTCGGCCTTGCAGGTCCTCTCTGTATTTACTGATTCTGCCTCTCCTGCTGGCCCCTCGTGCTCTATGGGCCTCACTGCCCCTCTGTTCCCTTGGGACTCCTCTGCCCTTTCCTCCTCCTGGTTTTCTCCTGGGAATCCATCCGTTAGCACCTCGTACGACATGGGGCCAGTGACCCTGGTGACTGTGGCGGGTACCCATGCTGGGCCTGCCCCAAAATTCTTTGCGTAATTCAACTCAGTACATAACATGCATAATTTAACTACACATTGCGTGAAGGAGAAATTTATCTGTCCTAAATCTTCCCACATTCAGTTTCATTGGATGCCCATGAGTTCCAGTGTTATAGAAGTCAGACAAAGCACGGCTGCTGCAAAATAAATAAATAAATAAATAAATAAATAAGGCATGCAGGTGGGTGGTCTGGGGATGTGGCTCAACCTGAGAATCCCATTGCAGATTTGTTTCCGTTCTTTGAATATATTAATCTCTCTGGCTTCTCAATCTTTATTGTCGTATTTCAATACCATTTGATAATCGGGGAAATACGATTTTTGGGGGGTATGCTGGTTTGCTGTTGTGTCTAATTTTTCCTTTCAAAGTATTTATTTTCATTTTATAAAGTACAGTCGTACCTTGGATCCCAAACTCCCTGGAAGTCAGACATTTTGGCTCCCAAATGCCGCAAACCCGGAAGTGATTGTTCCAGTTTGCGAACGCTCTTTTGAAACCCGAACGTCTGACGGGGCTTCCACGGCTTCTGATTGGCTGCAGGAGATTTCTGCAACCAATGAGAAGCCATGATTTGGTTTTCGAACATTTTGGAAGTCAAATGGACTTCCGGAACAGATTCCAAGGTACGACTGTATATAGAACAGAGAAAACAATTGTAACTGCAGGTGGAAATTGAAAAAAAGAGGAAAACAAACTATAAAATAGGCACAGAGAATGAGCACACTTGCACAGGGGTTAATGTAGCAAGGTCTAAGTCAGGAGCATCAGCATTATCAGATTATCTAGTATGGGGAGTCATATAATATGCCCTATGCTGTAGCTGTGGTGTTCAGCTTATTTTTTAGTTGCTGGTTTATTAATAGCATTTAATAGATTGCAATTGTTTCACTGATGATTTGTTAATTTATACGACTTATGTTGCACCTTTAATGTTCCATTATGTTCTTGCTATTTATTGTCACACACAAAAAGAACTTTATTGCGGCCAGTAGACCCGAAATACATGGTACTTATGGTCTGTAAGCTGTTTTGGGAATTCATGTGAATGGAAAGAAATTCTGAGCTTTCTCACACTTCCACTGGTGCACAGGTCTGAGAGGTATTCTACCTGCCCCAACCACTTTCTCCAGGAAAACTCGCTCTTTACCACTGTATTGGAACTAACGTCAACCTGCAGAAAAACCAACTGACATTTGCTCCATTTCAGCAGTGAATCCTTTTCCCAAGGAGAGGAGCGGGACAAGTAGAAATGTGTACGAACCCATAGAAATACATTCACTTCCTCACTCACTCAGTGTAGTTCCAGATTTGCCAGGCTTGTTAGGAAGGCTGCTTTGCTGTTGCTATTTCACTGTGTTGCCTTTTTCCTTTCTCTTCATTGCCTACCTGCTTTATTTCAGTGTTGATATGCTTTTGCATGTAACAAAAACTCAACAGGAGGTTTTTAAGGAAGGCCTGCCATTGGAGCAGCCACCCCACAATAAGCAGCCACCTGCAAACACCCCACAAGTTGCAAGCCTTGCCCCAATTTGCTGTAACACCCCAGTGTGTGGAGTGATCAACACTCCAGATGTTGCTGTCAGTTGGATGGCTAGAGCATTTATATCCGACCTTAGGTTTTTCCAAGCAGCACATATAAGTCTCCCCCTCATTTAATTCCCACAACAGCCCTGTGAGGTAAGGCTGAGAGGAAGTGCCTGGTCCCCAATGCTACACCCAAAACTTCATGGCAGAGTGTGGGGATTGGAATCTTGGTGTCTCGCAGGTCCTAGTCCCACACTCTAACCATTACGCAGCACCACCATGATTGCAAAGCGCTGTAGCGACTACAGCGGCGTCGAATGTTCGCTACTGCTGAGCGATACCTAGATCGGTATCTGAGGCTTTGCGTGCGCTTTGAGTGAGCTCTGAGCCCGCGCTCCCGTGTGTAGAGGCTTCTCTACAAGCTCCGCCGTCGGGCACGTGGTGGAGCTGGGCATGCATATGTGCCGAGCAGTCGCCAAGAAGGCACAGCAGTGCCAAGCGGCCCCGGATCGGCGCAACCTTGCCCGCTGTGCGCAGCTAAAGCGCAGCTTGGGATCTCTTGAGGCCATCGAGTCAGACTGCCGAGCGGGGGAAAGCGAGAGCGAGCAAGGCGCGGCGCAGCGCTTTCAGGCGGAGCGAGAGTGCGGAGCCAATCTCCTCCCCGGAATCGGAGTCCAAAGGGGCGGGAAGGGAAGCGCATAAAACCCGAGCGAAGGCGGACCGGCTTCCTTCTCCCCCGCCCTGTCCACGATCCTCCGGAGGCGCGCCGGGCGACAGCAGCGGAGCCGAGCGCGGGAGCGCGCGGCGTGGCCAGCCTAGGGAAGCCACTTACTTTTACTGCTTCTATCCCACCAACCGCGACTTGTTGCTGCTCTCTCCGCCCCGGATTCAAGGGATCTCCTCGGCCGCTGCGCCGATTGGGCGACCAGCACCGCCGCTCCTCCCAGGCCTGCCGGCTCGCCAGCCTCCGTCTCCGCCTTCCCTCCGCGCCCGGGTTCACCTTCTCCGGGCAGCCCGGCTTGCCTCCAAAGCGTCCGTCCGTCGGCGGAGCTTGCAAGGAAAGGAGGGGGTGTGCGGGCCGCGGCGCTCTCTCGCCTCCAGCCAGCAGCCGCTCTCTCTCTCCCGGCTGTAACCTCAGCTCACCCCTGCAAGAGAGGCATCAGTTTGCAATTGCAACAGCAGCAACTGCCAACGGCTGCGTCTTTGCTCCGGCTGGGAAAGTTGAAAAAAACAAAAAAAGAACAACAACAAAAAACAGCGGACTAGCGCCTTGACTTCTACGTTTCCCCAGGCGGGAGGCGTCGGACCCGAGAGGCCAGGGCCGACCGGCTTTTCTCTCACACACCACTGACAACTGCACCTGCTCCAATTTAGGAGCGCCTCGCGCGTGCCCCGACGGCCCAAGGGATGGCTCTGCTGGTCGCCGTCGGAAGCTGGTAGAAAAGCCCGGTTCTCGCAGCTGACAGTCGAGGAGTCTCCAGAACCAACCTGCAGCCAGAGAAAAACACAGCGGGCTGACCCCCACACGCCTTGCCGTCCAGCCACAGGAGAGATCATGGAGGTGCACGTCGGTCTGGGCAGAGTCTATCCTCGGCCGCCGGCGAAAGCTTTTCGAAGTGCCTTCCAGAACCTGTTTCAGAGTGTCCGCGAAGCGTTCCAGAGCCCCGGACCCCTGCGGGAGGAGGCTGGCCCCAGCCACCAGGCGTCGGCGTCCGCGACGGTGGGGTCATCTTCCTCGGGGTCCCACTTGCAAGAGCCCAGCGCCCACCAGCAAGACCCGGCTTCGCCCTCTTACTTGCCGCTGGAGGAGCAGCCCCAGGTGAGCAAAACGCTGCAGCCCCCGGATGAGCGGGAGGAGTCCGCGTCCTCGTCCGCCCCGTCCTCTCTGGCCCTGCTGGGAGGCCCCTCTTTCCAGAGTTGCCCGGGTGAGTTTAAAGACATCCTGGGTGAGAGCAGTCTTCTGCAGGCGGCAGAAGGAGGCGAGCCCCGAGGAGGAGGCGAGGAAGCCCCATCTGACAAAACTGACTACCTGGGGGAGAGCGCCAAGGAGCTGTGCAAAGCCGTCTCCGCCTCCATGGGCTTGGCGGTGGAAGCGCTTGATGCGCCCGGCGTCGGCGAGGTGGCGACGAGCCGCGGCGACTGCATGTTCGCTGGCGCGCACGCTCGGCCCCTGAATCTGGGCGGCTGCAAGATCATGGAAGCCGAGGAGGGAGGCACTGGCGGCGGCGCTGGCGGTGAGGGCGCGCTGGCCATGGACGTGCCAGGACACCTGAGCCTCTACAAGAGCTCTCCGGAGCTGGAGGAGCCGTCGGGAGCCTTCCCGAACCGAGACTACTACAACTTCCAGCTGGCCCTGGCCTCACATGGGCGCATCAAGCTGGAGAGCCCCTTGGAGTACGCACCCGGCGGTGCCGTTTGGGGGCCGCAGTGCCGGCGCGCCGGGGACGTGCCTGCTGCCTTGGCGCCCCACTATGCCGGCCCTCCTGGCCCCGGCTGGCACCCTTTCTTCACCGAGGAAGGGCAGCTCTACGAAGGCGCACCCCCGGCCTCCTTCGGCTACGCCAGGAGCCAGGGCCCGCCGTCTGGGCAAGAGGGCGCAGAGCTCCCACCGTCCGAGGTGTGGTATCCCGGGGGCGTAGTGGGCAGGATGCCCTTCGCCCCTGCCGCCGGCTGCATCAAGACGGAGCTCACCCCGTGGATGGAGGGCTACCCGGGGGCCTACGGAGACATGAGGTAAAGGGCTAACACGCGCTCAGACATTCCTCTCCGAGGGCCGGTAGGGTTTGGCAAAACACTTGCAGGCAGATTGGAGGGGAAAAATCCCGGGTTTACAAAAAGAAGAGGGGAGGCTTGCAACCAGTATTCCTTTTTAGCCTGGTTTGCTGTGTGTGTGGATTGCATGACCTTTTGCATCTCCTCCTGCAATTTCCTTGGGTGTGAATTGGTGCAGGGCAGGGGTCCAAAGGAGGGCTTCAACCTAAGGGTTGCTGGTTCAAGGCCCACTCTGCTCTGGAGCTACTCACAGGTAAATACCATCAGGTTTGCAACCTGCCTGCTGAGCTTGCGGATCAAGTGTAGATAAAGCAAAAACTATATTAACCCTCCCCCTCCCAAAAAAAAACTTACCCCAGTTTTCCTGGGGTAAATTGTCAATTTGTTCAGTCCTGACCATGATGCATCTTTCATCAGTCTGACTGAATGTCAGGATTTGGGGGTATCGTTTAGAAATGTTGATTTCATTGGCTTTAGCAGCATTCTGGATTCCTAATACAGTTGGGAGTCCTCTGCATGAATGTAGCATTATTTTGTTGTTTTGAGCGAGGTTCTGGCAGAGTTCACTGCCGTTGCTTCTCTCATGACTCATCGGGGAAGGTGCTTGCGCCAGAATTTCTATGCTCTGAAACCAGGACTTTGAAAGGTGATTTAGCGATCCATTAGAGATATGGAGCTATGATTATTCATATTTAAATTTGCTCTTATCTCCCCCCTCCCCCCCACTTTGAATAGCTGAGTCTCTTTATCAGGGCCGTTTCAGTGTTGTTATTTTATATATATATAAAGTTGTCTGTATTTTGGGTGCTCCAGCGAGTTTCTAGAAATGCTGACAACAGCAGACGTAAATTAAGGTAAGTAAATTTGTGCCCATAAATGTGGATGAACTCCCACTTCTGAATTCTCACCCCTTTAGAGACTGAACTGAGACTGCATTTTGAGTTAAGCTGTGCTGCAAATATTATTTACACGCAAGAGAGATCTCATAGTTGGTTGACAAATATAGCAAGCGGTTAAAAACTTTTGCAAGCTACTTTCTAAACAGAAGGTTGGAAAATGCAATTGATGTAAATAATTTAAACACAGAATTGATCAGTACGGGCCTTTATATAAAGATATGCATGTGCAATTTTTTTTTAAAAAAAAATGTTTATTTTCTCTTTGCTTAGCTAGAGCAGATGAGACATGAGATACTTGCTTTGGTGTTGCAGGTGTAACCATGCTTATTTGAGGGAAGCCCCACCACACTGGATGGGACTTTCCACTTAACAATTGAACCTCAGTTGGTGGGCACTGGACTTTTACCCTTGCCACACACCCATTCTGTGTCTTTCCCCCAGCAGCTGGTTGACTCAACTGGAGTTATGGGCTTTTTTAATACCTAGGTATCTTGTGTGCTGGCTGTCCTGGCACACTCCTTAGCTAGCCAGTGTCCATCTCACCAGTGGCGCCTGTATTGACATTCTTAGTGGTTAGGCCATGAGTTTAAAATGAAGACAAGGATCAGGTCCTTCCCTTCCTAGAATCCAGTTGTAAAGGAACTCAGACTTATCGCTCCCTGAGTACCTCATGCCTGCTCTGGTGATGTAACAATGACTTCATTTGTTTGGGCAATAAAATTTATGCCACTAGTAGTAAAGTCTCCACATCAACATTTATTATTATTATTTTTATTTTACAAGCAACAGTCAAATGCAGTGCACTTTTATAGGAGTGGTGATGGCTTCCTTGAAATCAGATTCATATGATCCTTTAACAAAAAGAAACGTAAGCAAGGAGGTTTTAATCTTGGCTTCAGCTATATATGATTAAGGATCCCTAATTCCTTAAGGAGTGAGTCTCATTCTTACAATCTGTTTTGCAGCCCAATCCAAAAGATCCTTAAACTGAAGCATTGTAGTCCTATGGACTACAATGTCGCTTGGAGTAGGATGCTAAAATGTGTTTATGCAGGAGGAAAAGCTACCGGTTTCACCAGAACTTATTTCTAGTGAATATGTACATTTAGAATCATATTCTCAAGTGACTTTAAAATTACAGTGTTTGAGCTTAACCAGGTTTAGACAGATTTGCATTAGCATCTTTGTTTAATATTTGTTTCATTTGATAATGAATGGGTTAGATTGTCAGCCTTCCCTATCCAGAGGCTGAGGTAGAAAGCACAAATAAATAAAATTAAAACGAAAGAAAGCATGAATTGATCCATGTCCCAAAGGCTCATAGTCTGGAAAAACATTGTGGATGGCCACAATCCAAGCCTCCCATAAAAATTACAATAAAGATACTGAACTTGGGATCTTAATAAACTACTGCATGATTTTGCAAAGGCATTTAATCATTAGAGATACATGGGACGCTCTGCCTGTACAAAATGGCACGTGCAAATTATATGTGGGACTCATCGCAGCCGAGTCCAGTGTTGCTTTTGCCTGATTGTGTCTTTATGATACACGTTGGGAGGAGAAGTGCTGGGTGGGGGTGGAATAATACAGTGGGGTGGGGGGAAGGCAAGAAGTTCTGTGCATGTTGATCGGTGAAATGTACAACCAGCACAGAAAGAGCCCCTTTGCGTGTAGGCGTGATTCTCATATAGGGCTGCTTTCGGTTTGAAGACTTGAGCCTTCCGCCATTTTGTCCTGCTTTCTCAAAATGCAGCTCGGCGATATAAGCACGGCAGTTATGCTACCCTGAGCTTTGGCCTGCAGCTCCCCCTCCCCATTTTCATGGAAGGGGCACTGTCCAGATTTTGCCTTAAACTACTGGTGAGTAAGGCAAGTGGTACCTGTGTGGTGCTTGCAAGCATCTTGGGCGATGCATCAACGCTGACCCATAGAAGCTTTTGAGTCAGAGAAAATGGGGTTCATTGCTCGGGTCTCCCTGAGTCAAAAGTTGATTCACGTCTGCTATATGTCTCCACCACCTTCTTTTTTCTCCCTTTTATACACACAGCAAGAATCAGTTCTTCCCAGGACAAAGTGGAAATAGATAGAATTTAAGATTTTGCACGCCTAATACCTGGAACGGTGACCATAACATTTCAGTTGCTTCCCAAGAAGTCGTTTTAGGGACTTTTAGGGAGTAAGTGGTTTTAGATCCTTTAAAGCATTTAAATTCCCCTTGGAGTGCCATCCCTGAATATGCTGTATCAATTTTGCATTCCCCACTCCGTGGGAAACATTTTGGGAGTTTCAGATGTAGAAATTTGATAGATTGCGGAAGAGAAGCAAACTAGTGTACCCAAGTGGGTTTTTGTTTTATTTTAAAGAATATACTTTGTAAGCAGTTGATTACCCTTTCCATTTCTAATACTTTTCTTGGGCTGTATCCAGCCCTCTGTGGAATCTAATGGGAAGGCTTCCCATCGATGTCAACGGAGCTGAATTAGGCCTTTGCATTTGTGACTCCCAGTCCCGTTGCGATTTTTAAGAATTGCAGTCTGAGCTGTTGAATAATATTTATTTCTCACATTACCACTGGGTGGTAAAGCCCACTTTCCTCAAAATGGAACAGCTGAATCTTGCTGGTGCAGACAGCAGGGGTAATGAATTGCTTACGGGCAAGTATAGAAAAGCTCGTTTTCGTTTTACTGGAAAATGAACTGCAGCTCTATTGGACAGACGGCAATGTCTCCTCTCCCTCACCAACCCAGTCATAAGACCCGTAGTCAGAACTTTGGTGGTGGTGGGTGACATGATAGATCTACCCATGAAAGCAAAACAGCTAAATGCAACTACTCAAATAAGTTATTTATCAAATAATATTAATAAAGTTTTTAAAAGCTAGGTGCCAGCTGCACAGTAATATATCTGTTAGCCCTGTGTCCTTTCCCGTAATGCTGCAAATTGGAAACAGGTTTATTTTTTACTGAACAATTTGAGAGAAGACTGCCAGCTTGTCTCCCCCACCCCCTTATCATACAAAAACAAACAGACTAGAACATGGGTAGGCAAACTAAGGCCCGGGGGCAGGATCCGGCCCAATCGCCTCCTAAATCCGGCCCACAGACGGTCCAGGAATCAGCGTGTTTTTACATGAGTGGAATGTGTCCTTTTATTTAAAATGCATCTCTGGGTTATTCGTGGGGCATAGGCATGTGTTCATCCCCCCCCAATATAGTCCTGCCCCCCCACATGGTCTGAGGGACAGTGGACCAGCCCCCTGCTGAAAAAGTTTGCTGACCCCTGCCACAATTTTTTAGACCCATTCATTTCCATAGGGGAACCAAGCAAATGCCGAAATTGTTTCCTGTTAAAACAAAAAGTAACTTTGGCTGGATCACTCAGTGATAATAAAAGCTCAGAAGGGACTGGGAATATTTAATTTATTTATTGCATATTTAGCCCCCCTTTCTCGAAGGAAGCTCAGGGTAGTGTGTACATAGTTCTCTTCCCTCACCCCAACATAATACACCCTCAAAACAACCCTGTTACACTGCATAGCCAGAGGTGCTGGGTAGCCCACCAGACAAAAGCCCAACACCCTTAACAACCACATTGGGTCTCATGCTCGTAGAATCACAGAACCCCCGAGTTGGAAGAGACCCCCAAGGGTAATCTACACCATTGTACGGAGTGGCACATTGGCTGAACGAAAATGCTTGTGGCAAGAGCATGGGCACCCAGTGCTGTGCTCTCCAGGTGTAACTGGTCTCCCAGCAGACCCAGCCAGCGTTGCCAGTGGCCTCCATGTTGGCTACCCCTGAACCAGAGCTTGCAAAGGCACACCCAACCTTGGCCTCTTTTATTCCCGCCCGCCTGCCACCACCGCCATCTCTTGCCATAAATGGATGTAGTGCTGTGCACATTTCCTTGGGAGACAGCAAAACTTGTGGGACCTGTTTTCCGAATAGCTTGCTTTGGATCGCGCATTGCATTTTATGAATCAGGTTTATCACTCTTTACCTCCAATTATTTCCCAAGCTGGCGGTTACTTTTAGGCTTGCAAGAGTCCTCCCCAAATGC